GTTATGATTAAGACTTATCTTCATAAGTTAAATGCGTTAAGTTAAGTGCGTAAATTTGGTTTCAGCCCAAGCCGACATTATCAGGATGAATTAAATCAACACCCTTTACATACGTAGATTCTTACACATGTGTGCAGAGATGACCATGGTCGGCAGGGTGATTCGATGCCGGTACTGGGTAGGAAAGTGGACCATCACTCCGAACAGAGTCGCCATCCCATTTGTCCAATTTGATTAACGTTATCCTTATCGTGCTTGCATGGAGGGACATCAGAATTGGAGAAATCCTGCACACAGTCTGTCCCGATATGCGTTTCAGTGTCCTAAAGTCTAACGTAGTTTTGGCCCATACTGGTTTCAGTGGAGGGCGTATGGGTCGTTTGTTTCCGACGGGGCGATACGGATGAATGTTTAAGTTTAATGTTTTCATATGGTTTACATAATTCAAAATGAGGACAGGGAGTTTGGCGAATATTTTTGCCTGCAATGATTTTTTTTCAAGAATTTCAACGTGTTTTTTAATTACTTGTAAAATTATGCATGTTCACCTTGTACAGTAGTACACGTGGTTTTGCAGCGTCTGGAACCCGATACATGGTTTGATTGTTGGTTAAGAGGCCGACTAGAATTCGAACAGAATACGCGTCGACAAGGCCGTGGCTGATTTTTAAAATCATTGTGCTCCTCCCCATCTGATAATGCACATGTCAAACATGTTTCTCACTGATTTTCTAAAAATCAAGTACTACAGGGTGTTAATAAAGTCCGATCCCATTTTTCCTGTAAAAAAGTGAAGGCTAGTATAAAAAAAACTACCCGTGATACTTACAAAAAATGTTCGACATATTTACCTTAGTATTTGGTCTTGTTACCATTTACTTTAACCATGCCCTCAACTCTTTGTTTAAGGCTCTGTGCTAATTTTTCCAATGTGCCTCTGGAAATCGAATTCCATACATCTTGAACTTTTTTTTACTAGCTCTTCCCTCGTCCGGGGTTGTGGCTCTTTGTATACATTTTCCTTAAGTATGGACCACTGGTTCTTCAGGGGATTCAAATCTGGGCCGTTAGCGGCCCACACCCCCTTGCTCCAGACCGTTGAAACTTGCGTCTTGATGAGACTCAAACTCGCTTTTGCTGTATGGGCTATAGCACCATCCTGCATGAAAACTATTTTTCTTTCATTCGGAAATATTTCCTTGTTCCCCATGCTATCGAAATAGATAGGTAATATTTTTTCCATATAATGCTTTGCATTGACTGATTGGCCTTTTGGTATGATATGTAGAGGGGTCACGCAACGTGCACAAAATCCACCCGCTACCATAACTTTAAGCCCGAATTTTGGGATCGCTCTTGATGGTACATCCGATTTGTTTTCTGTCCTGTAACGAACATTTTGTTGGTTCAATTTTGGATATAGTTCAATAATAGATTCGTCAGTCCAAAGGATGTGACTGCGCAATTCTTCACCAAGTCTTTTTTCACTCAAATGGGCACTTTTCTGAAGGAGTTCTTCAAATTTCAGACGGTCATCGATATATTTTTGTGACATGAGAGGTTTTTTTGGTTAGTTTGTAAGCTGTGTGACCCCACTTCGTAGTTTTCACAAATTTTTGCACGGTCACACAGTTAATTTGCTTCTTCTTCTCTTTATAGCGTTTTGAGTCATTTAACTCCCTTGCTCAATTACGTAATGAACTACCGGTTTTCTTGCAAAGTCTGTTTTTAATCATTCTTTTTGTGGTAGGTGACACCTTTCTGGGTCGCCCTGGTCGCTTTTTGTCGTGGACAAAATTTTTATTCTTCCATTTCCAAACAGTTCTGCGGCTGCAGCCCAATTTTTGCACAATTTCTGTAGGTTTAAGCCCCTGCTGATGCAATGTTTGTATCTCAACTCTAAGATGCTCATGACTTACACGTTTAGTTGTTCCTCCCATGGTAAAAATTTGAAATAAATAACTTCACTGGTTCAAAAGTTCCAGCTGAATTTGTAACAACCACGCTCCAAAAAATGCATGGGATCGGACTTTATTAACACCCTTTATAACATAAACATCAATTAGTGTAACACTTGAGCACTTTTGCAAAATGCACGGCATTATGCAAGTTTTTAGTTGATAACGGCGCGTATTTTCAATATTTGAAAGCGGAAAAATGATTGGCGCATAGTTACCGAAAATAAACGTTTTTGCCAGCTTAACACCTTTAATTTGACAATTCTGCAGAAGTGTCACACTAACCGTTGTTTGTCTTTAGTTACTTCATTTTTTAGTGCAGGTTTTAAAAAGATCCGTGAGAAACATGTCTGACATGTGTATTGTGAAGCAGCACAATTTCCCATTTTGGAACTGGGCCTTGTAGATTGGACTTGTCATGTGAGATACGACTCAGGGCTTCATTTTCAGTTTCTACAGAAATGTTTCCATCATATTCTTCCTCTCGAATGTGCAGATTTAGGTCAAGTGGCACTCGCATTCGGATTCGGAAGCTGTAGCCCAGCACAGCGGCAAAGGTGGAGTGGAAGACTGGAAACTGCATAAATAAATATGTATATCATAATCTGCATATAACACAAATTAGTTTAGTGTATCGATTAGTTGTGTATATGTACATGAGTTGGCCTTAAATGCGCTATAAATTCTTATCTATTAACTTGTGAAAAATTAGCATTTCTGGGCGTCTTGATAAATTTGGGACGAAATAGGACAAGTCAAAATTAAATTTAACTTATAATTTTTAGACCAAACTGTTAATAAGCCTTAAATGAAGGAGAAATCCGGCGTAAATGTGGACAAGTTGGCTCAAATAATTAATTCACAATTTTTTATTTCATTTATATTGATATCATTGCACCATATATTTAACTATGGCTTCAAAAAAAGCTTAAAAATTCAATTTTGCACAAGTTAATGACTGTGTATAAGAACTTTAATGTATGTATCTTCAATTCATTTACAACTCAACAATTGCACTGCAAGTAAGTAATCCTGTGCAATTCATTCTTATTTATTTAAGAAATACGGTACATCTATTATATTACGATTGTAAAAATCTTATCAACAAAACCTTCACGTGCTTCCCATCCTTAACGAATATTTCTTCAAAGTGAGCCCGAAGTTTTACCAGGTTGATTATTCCATCGCTGACAAATGCATAAGATATCATACAGACGAAGTCATTGTCATTTGCGACAAACATGGCGTCCGTAAAAGTCATGGGATCAAACAAACTTGTCCCATTTCTGTATCTGAGTTTTATGTAGAGCAATACAAAACTTTTCCAACATGCTAAAAATACTATAGTTGAAGCTACCAAAGGAGACACAATGAGCCAAATTATAATTCCAGCAATTATTTGCGTAAATTCCTGAAAATGTTGACGCGACATTATCGATATGTGTATCACTATTTTTATTAAAATGCTATCATTGGCAGCCAGTGGAGACCGACAGACCTAGCGCCAGATGAAAAATATAATGTTACGGGATAATACACATTGGTTGGACCGTATTCGCCGTTATTGTTATTGCCAATATCCATATTTTATAGCATTTCAAAAAACGCTCGATTCAGGTTATAGAGGGAAAAATTGGGAAACTTTTAGTTTTTGTAGGATCCCGATATATTTTTCAATGGAGAAATTCACTCCTCCATTCCCGAATTTTGCGACTTTCAGCCCCTCCCCCTCAGACAAGGGGCGAAGTAGAGCCAAATTATTTGCACCGTTACACTCCAAAAATCAGCTCTACAAATTGCACAAATCTTAACAAAATCAAAATTATTTGTATCTCTCTAAATTCCTGTCTTGATTATTGTTACTCCCCTGTAAGTATGTATATATAATTCTGTTTTTAGCCAATAGAATTCAATCTACATTGAATAGACATAAAATTGGTAGTAATTAGTTTTTCAGTCGAAAATGAACAAATATGAAAACTCGTAACGTTTCATGCACTATCCGATTTACTAATAATACTTACTTACATGCCAAACCATACATTTTTATATGTGCATCCGGATCAAAATACATGCATACATGTATTTTTTCCCTTTCATTTCACACCTGTAATAATGTTAGCAACCCAACCGTAGGTAGCAAAATAAACTGCATCTAATTGTGCAACCTTGTATAACAAATAAACCTGTCCAATAACTTAATCAATGTCAATGTCAGGCAAATAATCGTTTGGGATTTCTGTGTTCATTATCCTTACACAAGAGCACATTCCAGTCAAATGTGATTTTTACAGAGGCAAGAGCTTATCGGATTCAGTGCATGTTGGGGAAACAATATGTCTGTAAGCAGGGTTTCCAGTGGGAGTATCACTGTGCTAATTACCAGGAATGACGAATTCCACGAGGATTGTGTATTACCACGAGGTAAATACATAAAACTAGAACCAGTTTTAAATCTCTGGGAGAATATTTTTCAGGTACATATTTACATAATGCGAAAAATGCATAACTGCCTCACAGGATAACTAGTAAATTAAATTGGTAATTAATTAACTAAATACTTGTGATAGTTGTCTGTAGTTCAGTATAACTAGGTCGACCTGATTGGAGATATTTGAGAGACTGTTTTTCTGATAACAAAAATGCAACGCGACTTGGGATTTAAGTTCAGGGCTGGTTTTGTTACATTTATTGTTATGAGTTAGCCTAAAGAATTAGTAAGTATTTAAGGTAGCTAATATTAATATTAAAGAGTTGATTACCTAATTATATCAATTAATGGATATTAATTACTAGCGTATAATCCCGTCCCTCACTGGGCGAAAAATAACTTTCCCAGTTGGTTATTCACCGTGAAGCGATTAATTGGTTCAAGTAAGAAATTCAGAAACCCTGGTCTGCAATGTATAGATTATGAAGTATAACATGGAAAAATTTAAGATGAGATGATAAGCAACGGGTTAAATTTATCATTCAACAATCAATCACATTACTGCATTGTTTCTGATAAAAAACTTGTTTTAAATAGTTTGTCTCGTGATGGGACAAATTCCAGTCGGAGAGAAGATTTGGGTTTGGTTTGGTCTGGTTGTTGGTATATATTTTGTTGTGAATTTACGAAAATGTTGGCGATTAAATTTGCACTGCTTGTCTGCCTTGGCGTCTTCGTTGCTGGGCGTCCTTCTGAGGAGAAGCGTCTCATCAAAGTGAGCGAAGATCAAGATGCCGTTTGGATGAGTGAGGAAGAGATTTTTATCCTGATAGAGAAAAAAACGCATTTTATGGATGTAACGGGTCGCAACTTTCCAGCGGAGAAGCCAATCGTGGCCAATGGTAATAAATCAAGTCTTGATTAAGTGAGATAAAGAAAAGCGTCAAATCTAGTTTTTCCAAGAAAACTTAAACATTATGGAGATTGCAAATTATGATTGTCATATCAAATTTTTTATTGAGAAACCTACTGGTTGCGTGAGAACTTTTAATTTGCAATCTCGAGTCCAATTCATTTCTAAATTTATTTATTATATTCCAAATTCATAACGTTCCAGTTTTTTACCACAAATTTTTAAAATTTTAAGTAAATTTTGACTTTTGGTTTGATCAGCTCTCCCAACGACAATCCGCTTCCAAGACTTCGTCACCCCAATCCTGAGCGGGATTAATATCCCCAGAATGGAAGCTTTCGTCGATGCCTTTGACGACTTCCCAAACCGATATTACAACAATCAGAATGGTGTCACGTCTTCGGACTGGCTTTTCGTGCAGGTTGAGGAAGCCATCGCGTCCAGCGGGTATCAAGGGGTCACCAGTGTCAACAAGGTCTTGCACAGCTGGCCACAAAACAGTGTCATTGCAAAGATAGAAGGTGAGTCGAGCAGAATTTTTAAATTTTATTGGCGCAGGCGAATATGTAGTAAATTACAAAGCTGGCGCTATCGCCCTCTTGCGGGGCTATGTATTAGGCGCCAGTGTTGATTTACTGTAACATTGGTCCGATTCCACCCCTAAATCGATCCAGATAGGACCCATGTTGTGAATGGTTGGACAATCCAGTCGGATTACTAATATTAGTACGAGCCATACAAATCAAGATTAAATTTAACCTCTTGACACAGGTTCTGACCCAACTTTGAAGTCCGAAGTCCTTATCTTTGGCGCTCACCAGGACACGATTAACTCGAGAAATCCTAGCGCCGGGATTGCGCCGGGATCAGATGACAACGCTAGTGGGAGTGTGACCTTGTTGGAGTCACTGAGAGTCCTCCTCGCCGCTGGTGTGGTGCCAAAGAGATCGATCGAGTTCCAATGGTAAGTGATTCGTTACATAAATTTTGAATATTTGAATTTTGCGCCGACATCAAACAATATTGCAGGTATGCCGCTGAAGAGGTCGGCCTCCGCGGGTCAGGTGACATTGCGCAAGCCTACTCCAACCAACAAGTCAACGTCATTGGCATGGTAAACTTTGACGTCGTGGGGTATCGCGCCGGTCAAAATGAGATCGGACTCCTGACCGACTATACGAATCCCACTTTGACTAGTTTTCTTAAACTTGTCATTGACGAGTATTGCACGTACCGATGGGTCAACGACTACTGCGGATATGCCTGCTCAGACCATGCTTCCTTCCACGCATACAATTTTCCCGCATCGTCACCCTCCGAGTTTCCGCTGAACCCGTACATGCACACGACAACGGATACCACGGACAGAATGAGTTTTGAACAGGTGGCTGAATTTGTCAAGTTGACGATTGCGGCAGCCATTGAGATCGCAGAACCGACCGGAGTTTGAATAAATCTAATGTGACAATTATGTAGAATTATTTGGCAAAATTGGTAATTATAAAATTTTAGGAAATAAATAAACTTTACGCGCATCTAAGCACAATGATTTAATCACATTTATTTTCAAGTATACATAAATATTACTTGCACCAGGTTTCATGAATTTAGAGTGTTTAACTAAAAACAAAAATTTAAATTCCCGGTGATTTTTTTTTCAACCGAACAAATACCAATTAAAATAGTTTTTTTGACTTGAACACGGATTAAGTTTAACATAGTTTTTTTTAAATTCGATTCCGATCTGTAATATACAGAAAGCTTATGAATGCTCCTCCACAAAGGCCGCCACCTTAGTCCACATATCTGCCTGATATTCCTCCCCCCAATTTCAGTAGGTTTCTTGTTCACAAATTTATCAAAAAATATAAAACGCAATTTACGAGCAATGAAGTTGCTACACAACAGTAAACAAGCCATAGAGATGGTCAAATGTGGCAAACATCGAATTGGGATGGTCGCTGAGCCTAGGGAACCTACTTAAAGTTGAACTTTTGATTAGTTTAGGTTAGTTTTTAGGTTAGTTTTTAAAGTTCGACCAACTTACAGAACCAACGTAAATAAGTGCCACTTATTTACTCTGTGTAACTGATTTCATTTGTTCGGCCTGTTTTATGGTAATCTTTTAAGAAAGGTTGAAATTATTTAAGCTGAGTTAAAGGACAGGGCGCTGAATGCCGATCTGGGACCAAGATTTATTGTTCATTTTTTTTATTTATTTTTCTTCTTAATTTTAAAGATAATTATGGCATACAAATAACTCAGTATGCCAGAATTGAATAAATAAATTTTAAAAAACAAACTTAGGTGAAGGACGCGCTTAAAATATTAAAACAAGAAGCATTACAAAATGTCATAAATCGTTTAATATTTACTAACTTTTACTTCACCGGGGGCCGTAAAGCGTAAAATTGTTTACTCTCAATTGTTTCGTGTACACTGTAAATAATCTGGTAATAAACATTACCGAAAAGCACAAGTATACGACTCTACCAAAGTGGTAACGATAAGTTGTACCCTGTGGTAATGGCTTGGTAATAAAGTTTTACCATCATGGTAACGAATTTTTACCACCTGGTAAAATATTATTACCAAATTTATTACCAAGAAATCATTACCTGCGTGACTTTACCGGATTATTAAGAGTGTAGTTTTGAGCTCGAGTAAATTTTTTAAATGTAATTTTATAGGTAAGTCTATCATACTAACAATGGAACCTTTTTTCAAGCTGTCAAAAAATCAAGCAAGAAATTAGGAGTCGCATGATACTTATATTTCTGTTGAATGGCCCCTTTGAAGAAAAATATTGGGTGTCAAAGTTCGCATTCCTCCCTGGTTTTCGCCCGTGGAGGAAAAAGCAAAAGAAAATTTGCTCAAAAATTGAACTTAACCGCCAATATTTTCTTCAAAGGGGCGATTCAACGGGAAGAAAAGTGTCACGTGACTCCTAATTTTTGGCTTGATTTTTTTTACATAACTCACTAGTCGATCCCGGTGTAGCTTGAATAGAGGTTCCATTGTAAGTTATTTTTTTACCATCTTCAAAATTAAAAAAATAAAAGCCCTCGGCCCCATATCGGTATTCTGCGCCCTGTCGTTCAGTGAAGTCCCTGGACGGTTAAAATTTTACGTTAATGTCTCAGGTTGAGAAACCTTATATCTTTTTTAGACCAAGTCAGGGCTTATGGAACCGTCATGTCCGTCCGTCCGTCTGTCTGTCTGTCTGTCTGTCTGTCTGTCCGGCACGATAGAGCCAAAACGGCTGAACCGATTGACTTGAAATTTTTACCATATGCATATTGGACAAAGTTAGGAAACGAGTTCGAAGATGGATGAAATCGGTCCAGTGGTTGACCGGTGGGGGTCATCGGAGTGGGTGGGGTATTATGCACCAAAATTTCAAAATTGTCGTAGAAAGCTGAAATTTGGTACAGAGGTTGCTAATGGCTCCTAATAGATAAAAATGACTTCAAGTTGGAAAAATTTTCATATTGAGGGACCCTACAGGGTTACCCATACCGATTTTTCAAAATCGTCATACCAAGCTGAAATTTGGTAGATAGATTGCTAATGGGTCTTAATAGAAGAATATGACATGAAATTGGTAAAATTCTTATCTGGAGCGACCCTATGGGGTGACCCATACCGGTTTTTAGAAATTACTTTCAAAACATTAAATGCGGCATGGTGATACCTAATGGCTTCTCACGAAAGGATATGAAGCTAAAAGTGAGCAAATTTTAACCAGAGTGACCCTGGACGAGTCAGGGACTCGGTCCCTGACTTGGGCTATATGGAGTCTGCACTGTAGGTTATAAATACACCAAATTGAAGAAATATCAGATTTTGCCGAAGGTGATCCCTAGGAAACATGTTTTTGGGTGTTTTCTAATAAAAATTCTCCGGCCGTTAATTCGAATCGAACGTTTGTGCGATTAAAATATCGAGAACATGTTAGCGCAGAATATTAATCTAATTATGTATTGTATCTGTAAATTTAACTTTGAAAACTTGTCGGTTTTAAACCATTTATATTAATGAAATTGCCCCAAATTTAGAAATTATAAAAACAATTCAATTAGCTCTAAAACATGCGTTTTCCAACTCAAAAGCAGTTCTAGACAAATAAATAAAAGAATATGTGTCAAAATTCGAAACGTGACACTAGACTAAAACAAAAAAAAACTTGACCGGAAAAGCAATTACTGCTAGATCCCCAAAAAGGCACCCTCGTTTTTATAATTATAGCAATGTACAAATCGTTTTAAAAAATTAACTCTGCATTAGCGTGGAAAACTTAAATCGCTTTAAAGAAGTGTTGGCAAAAAATGCAAAGTAGATACCACGTGAAAAATTCCACCATAGGGGCGCCGACGCAATCTTGCCCCGGGAGCAAATTTCCAAGATCGGGCGCTGGGTGACTGGATCATATTTTGAATACTAATTATGTGCCAAAAAATGGCATTCAAATTAACTGGTCTGTAATTATGTAAAGTTGCACGTGTGGGACTCATGGTCGCACTTCAGAAGTCTGGTTGATACTGGAAATTAATTTGATTCAATTCAATCTGTACTCGTCACAAAGCAGATGAACAGAGTGAAATATACATGCTGTATGTATTTCGGGTCACTAATAAGTACGTGGTAGCCAAAAAAATCTGACCATTCTAAAAACAACTTCCTATCTGCGGACAGAATTTGCTGAAACTATTTTCTTGTGGGGTTGTTATTGATTTTTTCAGACAACCTGTCCTAAACCCTTATCTTCATGTCACACGTGCCGAAAAAATTGTAAATAAGTATGTACATACCTATGCACGAGCATTTGGGGAGGGTGAAGGTGTGTCAAAAATCACTCGAAACTTCCTCGATATTCCGTTCACTTGCTGAAGAACTGGAAACCAGCAACTGATGAAACCCATCCTGCACGATCAACTTTACCCTCCCCCACAACATGATAAGAAAATAATTCCCGAAAATCTGGTAGTTCGACAAGGCAATGTGTAGCGAATTTCACCTATCGATTTAAAAGATTTGGGACGAAAATCTGTTGTTACAATATACAAAATCATTAAAAACTAGCAACCATAATTCTCCGTTTTATCTTCTTTCTCAAGGACGGTTTTTACAGTTAGGTTTTACTATTGATGAGGTTAGGGATCCATTATGTGCATAATTCTGCATATTATTCTTCCGAAATCGCTCTGCATAAAGCCTTTTGAAGGAAAATTGTTTTCTGAACTTTTACTCGGTTTCTACACGGTGTTACTTATCAATACCACCTTGTGAGAGCCATATATGAATACCGCTTAGTATTATGTTAATACTGGATTTCCAAGAGTGTATGTAATAGGAGGGTTTGTGCGAAGAAATCGACATACATCAAAACTTCTTATGTATTGTAGATTTTACCCGCGATAAAAGACATTGCTTAGGTAAATATTTTTACAATTCAGAATTTGTCGAACACAGCTAGTATAAACAATTGTAAATAATAATAATAAGCTGGAATGTCCACCATGGCAAAAAGCTGATTAGGAATAATAACCACTGCAGTTAGAAAAAAAAATGTTTAATTGGAGTTTTAGGTACATAGTTTTTGTCATAGTAATTTAAAGAATGGGTTAATTCGTTTCTGCAATAAGCGATATTTTTGTTAGCCGATTGTCCACACAATGCTGGGAAATTAACTAATAAAAATTGTTTACCAGGACAACTTTTCAAGACAATAAGCACATACACATAAATACGAATGTATGCGGAAATATTAGAATATATGTAAATATAATTCTTTGTAAGTATGTACAAAAGTATGTCTGTATCTTATGCTTTCGTTAACATATAATCCAGGCAGATTATCACGAATGTTTAATATTTATATCCGTAATATTTTTCTTGATCATATGACATGAATTGCTATGCAAGTACATAAGTTACACACGCAATATATTAATCGCTTGTAAGTACATACATAAGTAGGTATCTATCTGCAATTCTTTGCCGCTTTTCCTTTGACATGTCAAAGGTTACAGCGACTGTGGGGGTGGTTTGATAAGTGGTTTGATAAGTTGTGGCGGAGCGGAGGGATGAGAGGATGCGTGAGTTGTTGTTGGTGGTGGTGGTGGTGGAAGGGAGAGAAGGAGCGAGAGAGTGTGGAAACCGGTTGTTGGTGGTGGCGGTGGAAGGGAAGCGAGAGAGTGAGAGCGAGCGAGTGAGAATGAAAACCCGGGTCAGCTGCTGACGCTGAGTTGTGTGAGGATGGTGGGTACGTACAGCGTGTGTTCTGTGATGGGTTAGCATATGTCATGTTGGTCGCTCTTTGAGCATTTCTGGAATAAGATTTACAAGCATCTGTAATGTGAGACTTTTGTTTATGTTAACTTAACATAACGGATCTTACGGACGTGATGTGAGTCATTTGTTCGCCATGTCGTGCCAGAGTTGTCTTGAAATTGAGCATAAAAAATACTGGATTATTTTTGAAAATCATACAAATTCCTGCGTTGACATATTGCCAACGAGTGTGTGGATTGAACAGAT